TGAGCAACGGAGACCGAAGTATTACATAACAAACACACATTTTTATCTTTAACTTCTGTAAAAAAGTATTGTTCTTCCCATTCCGAATGAAAGTGGTATGTCTTTACCTTCTTACAACTGCTTGCCATAATATTATTTTTGTTGTTCTCTACTAACCCAACCGCTGGACGTTGGTTACGCGTTCAGTTTTAAACTAAGCGCAATGTCGCCGCGCCGTGCGTATTTATCCCGTTCAAAGCAATCCAAATCGTTCTCGAACACTAACGCGCTGGTCCGGCTGGTCGGTTCTAGCCGATTCTAGCTTGCAAAGGCACCGCTTTAAGAGCGCTTTAAGGATTTTCCTGGAGTGCTTGTGTTTCGTAAAATACACCAGAGGTTACAAATTCTAATAAATTGATGGATGTAGCCGCTACTACGTGGTAGGAGATGATCATGAAAAATGAGAAATAAAATTTTCTGTTTCATACCACTAGTATTTTTAACTAACGTTACTGTAGTTTCGTTCTATGAGGACATTTTTAAACGAATACAATAAACTCTTGTATTTGTGTGAAACAGTCCTCATAGGACGAAACTAGTGGTAAAAAAACAGAATTTTTTTTCTGATTGATTCGGCCCTTACTTGATGAAGATCCATAGTAATTTCACAAACTACAACTTTCGATTTGATCTTCACAAACTTCATTTTGAAAATATATATCACGACATGTTTTGCTATCACAATAGATTTTTCGTAGAAATTACGAAAAATCTATTGTGATGTATTTATGAAAAAAAGTTTGTTAAGATCAAATCGTAAGGTGTAGGTTATAAAAACATAAAGTTTTATTTCTCATTTTTCATGTTAAATTCTACTTATCAATTTTCAGAGTATGTACTTTCACTTCGGTGTTCGTAACAAAAATTATATGGCTGAAATAAAAATAAAACATATCTCATGTACGAAATTACGGACAGAATTCTGACCTCGATAAGATATGAATGATTGATACATTTGATAAATGTGATTTCAATATTCGATAAGGGAAAAATATATAGATAGATGGAGTGTCAGGCACGAGTATAATATGGATTATTTATGAAATTATCGGATTTTGATATGATTAATGATTTCTTATTCAAACCATATTTATTATTTTTACGACTCTATTTCACTTGTAGGTAGTTTTTGTTTTTGTTGGGAAACGTTACTTTTAGAAACGCCTTTCTCGGTGCAATGAAATCCAACAAAATATAATAATAATACTGAGTATTATCATACCAATAAATTGATGGATGTAGCCGTTACTACGTGGTAGGAAACCATAATGAAGAAAAGGGAAATGGAACTTTCTATGTTTTTTATCACTTTTATTGGTAACTAACGTTACTGCAGTTTCGTCCTACACGGACATTTTCAAACTTATATAATAAACAATACAATAAACTTATTGTATAGTTTTGAAAATGTCCGTATAGGACGAAAGTTTATTGTATAAGTTTATTAAAACAACGATAAAAATAAAAACAACAATAAAAATGAGTGTATTGTATTGTTCATTGTACAAGTTTGAAAATGTCCGTATAGGACGAAACTGCAGTAACGTTAGTTACAAATTAAAGCGGCAAAAACATAGAAAGTTCCATTACTCTCTTCTTCATTATTATCATACCATTTGCTTCTGATGCTTCCCAAAGTCCACTCAAATTAAACCACTTCAGATAGATTTGAAATCACTGAGGTATTGAAGTACATGTATTAGCACACCAAACTATCTGAGTCAACATATATACGCTTTTCCCAGCCTAATATCCAGTCATCGAAGATATCTCAGGACGTATAAATCTCCGAAGAAGCGTGCCACTGGCACCAGCGAAACGTCGGGAAGACATTCCAAAAATTGATGGCCTTCAAACCCAAAATACAGTGACACTGAAAACCTCGGCCTTGAAAGCCTTGATAATTTTGTCGGATATTAAGTACTGCATCTTCTACAATCATCGAGGCAGAAGTATGTTTATTTCAAGATGAATAGAGAGCTGAATTTTTTTATTCGTTTTGAAAATAAACAATTTTTTCTTCAAATATTATGATAGTGAGTGAATTAGATAGTACGTTTATGAACTATGCAATGCAATGAATAGTGTATTTTGAGGAAATTCATGATCACTTTAATGAAATGAATGAAAATTGTCTAATTTCCACTAGTTATTTTATTTTTATCCCATTATTAAGTATAAATTTACCCCATTATCAAGTATACAACTTGGTGATGGGGTAAAACACGAAACCGGTCGTATAAATAAAATAACTAGTGGAAATTAGACAAAAGTATTTATCATTCATTTCATTACGTTTATAAATGAAAATCAGTCCACAGGGGCTTCAGAATGATTTTCCTTACTCTTTAAACCCGCCCTTGTCACACCACAGGCTGATATAACTCGTCACTAACACACGGGCTGAAAACCCGGGCCTAAGAAAGTTTACGCGTATTTTATTGTTCAGAATTGGCTTTATTCATCAACGTAATCTTCATCAAGATCCACACAATCATTCCAGCGCCTCTCTAACATTTCAATACCGTTTTTGTAAAATGATTTATCTTTTGCTTCAAAATAAGCCTCAGTTTTAACAATAACTTTTCATTCGAGAGGGAAATTCTTACCGGTGAGCATTTTTTTGAGATCTGCTAACAGCCAGTAGTCACTGGGAGCCAAATCTGGCGAATACGGTGGATGTGAGAGCAATTCGAAGTTCAATTCATGTAGTTTTGCCATTGTTTCGATTGACTTGCGACAGTGTGCGTTGTGTTGATAAAACTTTTTTTTTCTTTGTCATATGTGGTCGTTTCTTTGCAATTTCGCTCCAATTTCGCTTCAAACGCTCCAATAACGCTATATAATATTCCCTTCTCAAGATAGTCGATGAATATAACACCACGCACATCCCAAAATACCGAGGCCATAACCTATCCAGCCGATTGTTGTGTTTTCGGTTGCTTTGGACGAGGTTCACCAGTTGCTCTCCACTCAGATGACGATAGTTTTGATTACGGAGTGAAGTGATGGATCAGTGTTTCATCCATTGTCATATATCGACGCACAAACATGTCCAAACACTGGTAAGAATCATCAAGACGTTTTTCCTGCACGTCATCTTGATTTCTTTCAGGATGGAGCCTTGCTCCCCTACCCTTTAAACCGGCTTTCGTCAGCGAGACGAATGGGTCATAACTAATCATTATTGGCGGCATGAATGTCCTCAGACATCAGTACCGCCCTTCATTTGGCACCCCTACCTGGCTGGGGTGAGATGGATGAAGATGTTATTCATCTATTAACGGAGGACATGAGGGCCTCATTCGACAGAGTGTTGGGGTCGTCTACAGCATAATCTATAGCTTCCCTGACTAATGGATTATCGTGAGTTTCCGCACAATCTAAAACTCGCCGATTCCTCGACTGGATGGACTGCTGAATGGAAGGCAGCTGTAAATCTCTGCGGACGAACCACGGAACATTCACAATCATCCGTAGTATTTTATTTTGTAAAGTCTCTAAGATGGAGATGCTGGACGGAGCCGCTTGTTCCCAGACGTCTGAAGCATACATGATGACAGGCTTGTTGTAGAACGTAACTTTGTTTTTAAGGCTTGACTTGGATCGTCTGTTTATCAGAGAGTACAGGCTTGCCACCCGACCCTCGATCTTTGCCTTCACGATTATAAAGTGCGGGTTCCAGGTGAGCCCACGATCTATTAGAAGACCGAGGTACTTTACCCGCGCTTGCCAGTCGATCTCCCTTCCAGAGATTATCACTTTCATAGCCGGAGAAGATATCGTTCTTTCCATGGTTAACGCGTTAACTCAAGGTACCAGCGCTCGAGGTCGTCCAATGCACGTTGCATTTAGACGATCCCGAGCTCCGGACCCATGGAAGATGAGAGGAGAGCCGTGTCGTCGGCGTAGAGGAATACCTTCACATGCTCGGACCTCGGGAGGTCACTGGTGTAGAGGGAATATAGCATGGGAGAGAGCACGGCCCCCTGTGGCACTTCAGCGAGGATCTCTCTGTTGTCAGACAGAGAGCCCTCTACTCTAACCTGAAATGTTTTGAAATTCAGGAAAGACCCAATCCACCGGATCAGGTCCCGAGGCAGGTCGAACGCAATTAGTTTGTGCAGAGAAGATATCGAAATGTCTAATAAGACTATTCAAGACGTTCTTGTTTTCCGTCAACAGTGAGTATGCGGGGCACCCACTATGAAAAGAACGTTCTCATACTCACTCAAGCAATATAAAGCCAACACGTTCTAATGATGCCTTTACGATATCAGCTAACTCACGCAACTTCACTTTTCGATCATTCAAAACGATTTTGTGGATTTTTTTTGTTTTCTGATGTTACTGCCTTATTTGAATATCCACTGCGTTCTGCATCATCGGTGTCTCTACGACCACGTTGGAAGTCAGCAAACCAACGTTCAATTTGTTGTTTCTGATGCAGCGGAGTCCTTATAACACTTTTCAAGGTATTGCTTCGCTTGAACGGTATTTTTTCCATCAAGAAGCAGTGTAAAATTGATACTCGAAAAGTAGTGTCACTCTTAGCACAATAACTCACAAACTTATGAGCAGAATATCATGAAATTCCAACAGCTTTCTTTTAGAGGTTAGTACTAAGTGAAAAAGCGGTGAATACAATAAGACTATCGCCATCTACGTGTTAGTCCCGAAACTTTTCAGCCCATATAGTAATGTTTTAATTCCAGTAACGTGTAGCGATTTTGACTGTTTATTACAAGTATATCCGCTTGTGATACAAAATTCAAATTGTAAAGTGCACATTCAATTCCATAATTTTGAAGGGAATTCACTTTCACATATTTAATACAGTTTGAAGCACTAATATTTTTATATACCTAATAGATATAATAAGAATACTTGTTTACCTTTAGAATTTTCTTCATTAGACCCATCAGAATATCGGTATATAGGCTACGTTCATGAGCCTCATCTAACATTATTGCAGAGTAATTCTTCAAAAGAGGGTCTGACATCATTTCTCTCAACAGTATTCCTTCTGTCATATACTGAAAAAAAAAAGTTAATATACTCCATGTCACAACAGAACAAATTTTTACCATGTAATGGAAAATTACAAGAATATTCCACCAGTAAACGACAAAAAACCACATAACTTTAGTAAACATGAAATAGACGTAGCAACTGAAAAATGGCATGAATTTTTTAGTATGCCGGCCTTTAGTGGAATAAAACTCTTGTGATCAGTAAATGTAAGTTGAATGAGGATTAATGGAAAAATAATACGAGCGTTTTCCGCCTCGTACGAGTCTGAAGTAAAACAAATAATAATAATAATACAGATGCAGAAGGCTGTCATTCTTGGCTCTCTGCGCTTGCTCAGGACATATGATTCTCGGACCCAATGATCACTTACTCCACGATGTGGAGAGTGGTCGTTGGTTGATACTGCTGGCACGTCCTCCCGAATGTATCGGGGCTTCGGGGGATAGGGCCCGACAAGCGCCTACTACGGTAAAAAAAATACAATAATAATATTTATTTGCCAAATCTTTACATTGATTATTGAAAAGCGTAAAGATATCCTAAGTACATTTATGGATAGTGAACAATTAAAAAGATTGCCACTTAGGTTCACATGAAACCTGTCTGTGTATAATTGAATAACTCAATGATCTTATGATTGATACGAGGATATTACAGGGCAGAAATATAATGAACTCGGTAGCTGAGGGGCGATAAAACAGGAGTTTAATCTAGAACTAAAGATTTCAATTATGCGAATATAAAAACAATAGCGTGGCGTACTTGTCGTCGAAAGGGCGCTATCTATTTTTTTTAATAGAAAGGTGGCTTTTGTGATACCTCATTCAATAATATCTTTCAATTGTCGGATTCGGGCTAGCCTTTCTCGAGTTATTAGCGGTTACATTTTCTTTTCAAGAATCTCAAAACATGCGATATATCTTTAAAAAAAATATTCAACGTTCGCTTCAGTTTATCACTAGTGTATGATAATTAGGGAATTTCTAATTAAATATCCCGTCTGGTAAGTGATAATTATAATCCGTTTTGGTATAAAATTGAAAGTGCTCCATTATTTAACAGATGTCAGTAGTACGTGTTTGACTTGAATCATAGGTTTTCTCGGGCTGTTGAATTATTTTCAGATAGTACCCTAGATTTACATTCCTTTCTTATGTAATATTTACACTATGATTGAAGAAACACTACAATGATTTAGAAAACAATCTAGCTGATGGTGAATCTGTCGACGTTAATCAAATTTATTCAGATAACAATTTATTGTAAGATTTTCACTGATCAGTAATGTTAAATTTTCAAATTCCAAACCTTGGTATTGGTATAGGAATATTGGTGACCGTAGTAATAAATGGAGAAATGAGCTTTTCTATACATTTTCTATACAAACATTAATTGAGTTCATTAGGAGTTTCACAATAAATGTGAAATATCAAAGATGATTTCTCAACAACTTTTCTTTGGTATGGGTATTTATCGTGTACTATTCATCTCAGTAGAGTTTTTGATACAAATGGTGCATTTCAGTAGCTTTGATAAATTTTTCTGGCAATGGCCAAAGCCATCGATTTTCACCAACAAGAATGGGGGATGTTCCTACTGACGAAAATCAAGTAGTTTTCATAAAAGAGCTCTTAAACAACGCATTTTAAAGGGATTCGTTTCTATTTCACCATTTGGCAACAGCGGTTATAGCTAATAAATGACAATGCATCTGTTACCTGTATGAGACAAACAAAGATGGCATATTTCAGAGGCGGGCTATTCTGTTTACTTATGTTCCGAGTTCCGAGACATTCTGTGGCATATGACATGTTGTGCACCTAACCTATCTTCCTCTATATAAATAAATAACAAAACAACTGTTGTTTCTGTGGCTTGTGGAGGTGGTATTGAACTATAATTTATATTTTGCCGTAATTATTGATTTATAAAGGTAATTTTCCTTTTTAAAGTAGAATATCTAGGTACGTATAAATTATTTCAACTTGATATATGCGCTGTTGCCAATATGTGAATTAGAAACAAATCCCTTTAAACCTAACATTTGAAACATCAATTTGAATACTTTTCGAATAGAATTTGAAAAACTCATGAATTAAATAAACTCAACTTTATTTTGTTCAAACTTACATTTGCTGTAATAACCCAAATTGAGGAACATTCCCAATTGTTGGCTGGGCAATCTGGATATTATAAAGTTCATTCATTTTATATGTTTTTGAGTTCTCTTCAATTTTGGTAAAACTATCAAGCCACTGGCAGCAGTCACCTACTTCTTGAGCCACTTTGCTGTCTCTCATTGTTGTCGTTTCATGATGTGACTTTCTGGTCCGATGTCTTAATTTGTGGTTGATCAACTAATCGTAAAAGATTTGTTTTTCCTTTTTGTAAAGACGAGGTTGTTTAGTATGCACATTCTTTGTTTCAATGTAGAGTGTATTTCAGGGCGACTCCCTCAGTCCCATTCTTTTCTGCATCTCACCATCGTCATTATCTTCAGCTCAGGAATACTCGGGGGTATAACAGTGGCACCCCCGGGAACCGGAGGCATAAGATCACCCATTTGTATGTAATTTAGAAGTAACTCTTAGTTATGCTTGAAGAAGCTATTGTATAGCGAAACACGTGTCGCGGTTTTTGTAAAACACTTATAGTGGAAATCATAGAATAAACTCTATTTATTAGTTTTTTTAATCATGCCATCTGTATATAGATTTTCTATTTAGTTGTGATGTGATGTCTGATAATATTTTTAGTTGAATCAAGTTTGTTAGTAAAAAGATTTTGATTAGAGTTGTCACATAAATAGAATTTGAAAACGTCAGTATGACTTTATTTTTGTTTGAAGGTGATTGACAATGTTTCACGATGAATTTCACTAGTTCGGACTTCCATTGTCTACTATATAAAATGATTTGAAATCCCTGAAACAACTAAAAAAGAAGAATTGAAAATGGGTAGCTGAAAATAACAATTATATTAACCAAAATAAACCTGAAATGAAATAATAGTGAAATAAAATTGGTGGCCTGGTTTTCGTGAGGCTGCTACGGATAGTGTTACCGGATCTGAAGCAGGTTCTGATATTGTACTTGGAACCAATTCTTCTTATCCTCTCCGATAATCCACTGATGTAGGGAAGTGCAAGCACTGGTTGTGACGGCTTCTCTTCCTTGCAAGGCTCCTGCTGTCTTCTAGCCAAAGTCTTTTCTACCATCGCAAATTTATTCATTAACTACAAGTTTATCTGTTATCAACCATCCGATATATCAATTTACATAGTTTTCGCAATAAAAGGAGGCTTCAAAGATAAGCCGCCCGTAGCTTCGCAATGGATAAGGCCGCCACTGGCGCAGATTCTGATAATGGAACTGTTTGGCAATGCTGATTCAAGTAAAACTCTTCGAATTAATACTTTTTTTATACTAAGTGTTTAGCGTTCAAAGTTGCCACCGAGCACTCATTATAGAATAGTTCAAGGACTAACCAAGGTTATCGTGAATGTGAAATAAATTAGTTTTTTGTGATTCAGTATTGATTTCATTTTAATCAGGTGAAACATAAAACGATTCTTCATCGTCAATATCGTTTTAGTTAAAAATAGAACCAAATGGTTGAATTTATTGCAAATGATTTGTTGTGTTGTTATTGTGGAGATAGTTTTTAATTTTGATTGAAATCATATGTTAATTATATTACACCTATTGGTATAACGATGAGTTATACTAATATGTGGTATCATCGATTTGTTAAATACATTGATGTTCTAAACTAATCAACAAATAATTTGAATGACAGATTGCTTTGGTAATCTCAAAGACTTTGTAACAATGAAAATAACATCTGATAACTACTGAAAAATTGAAAAAAGCATAGAATGAAACGAACAAATAGTCTTTTTATAATTGACAAAGTGTAATGAACCCTAATTATGAATTAAAACAGAATTAGGAAGTTTCTATTGTTTTGTTAACGTTTTACATGCAGAGGCGTGTTTTGGAACATCCGATAACCCATCAGCAACAATAGAAGCATAAGATAGTAAAGTACTACGAATGTAATCAATTTATCATAATAGTCTAGTCCCTGTTGGGTTGACGTGGGTGGTTTGCTTCAATCACTCAATCGACCGCTGTGTCAACCGGTGGTTCGAACCGCAAGGCCGGACTATCGATTTTTACTTCCTATCGTCCAACACTATGTATGACATTCCATGTAGAAGCTAAAGGAATCTAGACTTTTAAAAACGACAAAAACCAGGATAAATATATCTCAGTTCCCATACCACCAATACACGAAGAACTATGGAAAGATTTTCAAGGAACTAGGTATGAAGGTGGTTTTTAAAACAAGTCATAGGTACACTACAGAGCCTTTTAGAAATCCAAAAGACAAAGTCGAGAATTCGTAAAAGTCTGGAATTTTCGAAATTAAATGTAAGGACTGCGATGAAAAATATTATGGACAGACAAAAAGTTCTATTGAAACAAAATATAAGGTACACTTAGCACACTTAAAATATGGAAGACCTGAAAAATCAGCAGTCGTCCATCATATATTGCAACAAAACCATTCTATAGACTTCAGTTCATTAAGATTAGTCAGACAAGCTAACAACAAAAGGCATCTAGATACCCATGAGAGTGTAGAAATAAGTATAAAGGAAAACGCTGAGATAAATTCGAAGATTAAGTTTGAAATTTTGAATACAGGGATCCGTTACTTGGTGAAAATCAATGTATATTATTCGTGATACTAATTACAAATTTTCACAATATAGACTTCATTTCCAATACGCGTTTCACTACATAATATCATCCTCAGTTGGACCGAGTATCCTTTAAACACAGTTCGACTGACGATGGAAATAAAGCCTATATTGTGAAAATTTATAGTTTAGATCGAATTTGAATAGTAGGGAAAAGTCTCGGTTTCGTAAACATGAATATTTATTTTGACAACCGTGAAAAGGAATGATCCCTGTTTTCTGAGATATTTTTAC